TTTCCTCTTTTTCCCCACGCTTCTGAAAGCCACAGATGTCTGCTCCTCGGGACCCAGTTCCGGCGCCCTGAGGCGGTTTCAGTGTGACCCGTGAACAGTTAGGCGTTCAAGGCCAACAGAGCACAACCATCATGTTCACTTGCTAATTCTCACTCACTACCGTCAAGTCGATGCCAACCCATAGTGACCCTTTAGGACAAAGTGGAACTGCCCCTGCGGGTCTCTGAGACAGTAACTCCTTATGGAAGCAGAAAGCCTTGTCTCTCTCCCAAGGAGCAGCTGGTGGTTTTGAACTGCTGACCTTGAAGTTAGAAGCCCAACATAATACCACTAAGCCACCATACATTTTCCAAATTTTGCTACAGCCTATTTTTACCTTCTAAGAAGAAAGAAAGAAAGAGCAAACAGATGCTTCAGCTTGATGCTTTGGGGCTTGCAAATCAAGCAGAACACTGGTAATTGCTTATTTCCTGCCTTGGTTAGTCTTTGCTTCAAAATGTGACCCAATCAGGCAACAGTCATCAAGGGGAGCAGCCAGGTGATCGGGCCCTTTTTTAATTTAACTGTGAGTATTTTTATCTGTGTCAAAAAGGGGATCAAATCAAAATCACACAAAAGCAGCAGCAGCAGCAGCAGCAAGGGACCTGTTGCTAGAGTAAGCTATCTTGCCACTACAGAAAGCCTTACAGAGAATCTGCTGCCTTTCAAAATCAGAAGATCTTCACACTGCTGTCCTTTGGTCTTAGGTGATTAGAAATTGACCCCAAACAGTATCATGCTGCTCCTCAGTCCTGAAGCCAGCAAACCCAGGCACTGAAAAGCCAGGCATGGCCAACCCACAAGGTCAAGGGTGGCAGAGGACACAAGGGATCCCAGGAAGATTCGTCACATAACCTAGTAACACAAATATCCACAGGATTATGTGTGCATGTTCAAATTTGCACATGTAATATACCAATGATGTGAAAATGTCTAAAAAGTACCTTTTCTCTTCTGGTGGTTCCGGTAAGCTGTAAGCGCGTTGCTCTGTAAGACACGGAATAAGAACATGAAAACTCAGACAAGCTAGGAGTCCTGGGTTGGTCTGAAAGGCTCACAACTTAACCCAGTTGTGTCCCTACACAAAGCATCAGTTAGAAAATAATGAGAAAGCAAGACTTTTATATAAATAAGCCATTGCACTGGATAGATCGTGACCGCATTGCAGTTATTTCTCATTCATTTTATCATTTTATTAGGGGCTCATACAACTCTTCACAATCTGTACATACATCATTTGTGTCCAGCACATTCGTACATATGTTGCCATCATCATTCTCATAACACCTGCTGCTTTCTACTTGAGCCCTTGGTATCAGCTCCTCATTTCTTCCCCTCCCTCCCCGCTCCCCCCTCCCCCTGAGCACTTGATAATTTATAAATTATTATTATTTTATCATATCTTACCCCATCCGACGTCTCCCTCATCTACTTCTCTGCTGTCCGTCCCCAAGGGAGGAGGTTATATGTAGACCTTGTCATCTGTTCCCCCTTTCTCCCTCACCTTCCCTCCACCCTCCCGATATCGCCACTCTCTCCACTGGTCCTGAGGGGTTCCTCTGTCCTGGATTCCCTGTGTTTCCAGTTCCTATCTGTGCCAGTGTACATCCTCCGGTCCAGCCGGATATGGAAGGTAGAACTGGGACCGCATTGCAGCTTGAAGCAGGGAGGAGACCACCTTTCATGATTTCGAGTGCCGAGTCAGCAGTAGCAGGGGGCAGCAAACATTTTCAGACGTGCAGGAAATGAGTTTTGGGTTTGTTTGTTTGTTTGTTTGTTTGTTTGTTTGTCTTTTAATTTCTCACCAAAGCTTCCTTTTTCACTCATAGCACTACATTTCATAATGCTGAATACCCAAAACACAGGAAAAACAATAAACAGTGTAGCTGCCGTTTAGCAAGGCTCAAGGAACAAGTCTCCAAGGCCAGTGTAGCGAAGAGTTTGTTTTCACAGAGCTGCAAACCCTTGTAAAGTCCTAGCAGCAGCCAGTTCGGAGGTGTGCTTTGTGCCTCCACTGGACATGTGTGAGCCTGGAAGAGGCAAGCTCAAGCAAGCCGTGGAATCCCATCTTGTTTCTGGAGCTGGAATATGTACTACCTGGACGGGGCAGAGACACTGACAGGGAGAGAGACTTGAGGAGGGAGGGTCACTGTGGAGGAGCGCGCCATCCAGGGAGCAGGGACAAATGTTTTACAGGGAATATCTAGAACAGCCATGTGGCAGGGCTGGCTTGCAAGTACATACGAGGAAAACTAACCCATCAATAGCCTTCCAAAGGTAGAAGTATTCATTTTGAACCTCATCCTATCTTGTCCCTAATAGAAAACTAACTTTAAAGAAGTTACAGGCTTTATTTCATAGCCATCACTGAATCTTTCAAAGTAAGTAGTGGGCAGAAATCATGGCCCCTGTTTTAAGTCAGTTGAAGTGCCAGAAGAACAAAGCCCTCTGAGATAAGAAAGCTACGAATCAAAGCCAACTCAGGCAACTGAACAAAGTTCAATAGGATTCGAGCCATCTGTTTTCAAAACTTTAAAAGAAAACAGCAAACAAAAAAGAAACACATTTCTTTCGCTCTTAAATATCGAGTCCCCCAGAGGAGGTACACTGGTACATATAGGAACTGAAAATACAGGGAATCCAGGACGGATGAGCCCTATAGGACCAGTGGTGTGAGTGGCAAAACAGGGAGGGTAAAGGGAGAATGGGTAGGAAAGAGGGAACCAATTACATGGAACTGTGTGTGACCTCCTCCCTGGGGGACAGACAACCAAAAAGTGGATGAAGGGAGACGTCAGACAGGGCAAGATATGACAAAATACCCATTTATAAACTATCAAGGGCTCATGCGGGAGGGGGGAGAGGGGAGGGAGGGGAAAAATGAGGACCTAATGTCGGGGGTTTAAATGGAGAGAAAATGTTTTGAGAATGATGTAAAAAATGTGCTTTACACAATTGATGTGTGCATGGATTGGGATAACAGTTGTATGAGCCCCTAATAAAATGTTAAAAAAAAAAAATATATCGAGTCCCTTTTTGTCATCTTGGTGAAGTTGTTGTAATCGCTACTTCAACACTGACGGGGCTTCTTTCTATTTAAACCTAAAATAGACCAATGAGGACTCCGGGATTGGAGTCTGCACTGAATTGCAGGATGACATCAAGGACATCTTACGTGAAGAAAACAAAAGGCCACTAAAGAAGATAGGAATAAAAGAAAAGTCCAAATCAGCTGTTGGAAACTTGCTCGTGAACACAGACTAGCTAAAGCAAAAGGGAGAAATGATGAGGTAAAATAACTGAACAGAAGATTTCAAACAGAGGTCGAAGAAAACAAAGTATTAGAATCAAATGTGAAAAGACATGGAGTTAAAAACAAAAATAAGAACATGCTCAGCATTTCTCAAGCTGAAAGAGCTTAAGAAAAAAGAAAGCAATCTCAAGTTGTACTACTGAAGGATTCTAGGGGGAAAGTATTGAATGACGCAGGAAGCGCCATGCAAAAGAAGATAGAAGGAACACACAGACACTGTATCAAAAAGAACTGACCCACAGCCATTTCTGGAGGTAGCATCTGATTCAGAACCACCGATACTGAAGTGGGAACTCCAAGCTAAACTCAACTATGCCAAGAAGTTTGGAAGACAGCTACCTGGTCGGCTGACTGTAAGAGATCCTACGTGCGCTTATTCCAAAAGATGATACAACAGAACGTGGAAAAATGTGAATCATATCATTAACATCTTACAAAAAGTGAAATTTTCCTGAAGATAATTCAAAAATAGTCATAGCAGCAGTACACTGATGGAGAGATACAGCCTCTGGATTCAGAAGAGGGCCAGGAATGAGGGACATCATTTTGATGTCAGACGGATCTCAGCTAAAATCAGAACACCCTAAAGATGTTTACGTATGTTTTACTGATTGTGCGAAAGCATTCACCTGTGTGGATGATAACAAATTACGGGAACTCCAGAGCATTCAATTGTGCTAATCTGTGGGAATCTGTGCTTACTTAGGCCAAGAGGTCATCATGTGCACAAAGCAAGGGTATACTGCATGGTTTAAAATCAAGAAAGATGTGCATCAGGGTTGTAACTGTATTCAATCTGTATCCTGAGCCAATAACGTGAGCAGGATTATATGACCAAGAGCAAAGCATCAGAACTGAAAGAAGATTCACTATGAACCTAAAATATGTAGCTGGCAGAGCCCACCCGGCAGCTTGCTGAGAGGGAGGCACTTGGAAGCACTCACTGAAGATCCAAAACGACAGGCTTCGGTATCGATCACAGAACCGCAATGCACAGGATGTTGCTAAACACAGGGAAACCAATTCTGAGCATTTAAAAGCGCTGACCTACTGCTCCTGTACTTTCACGAACTGAAAGTCTGCTCCGGATTAGCATGTTCTCCCCGCCACGTGGAAAGTCGTGCCTACCTTCTCTTGAATTGCACACTGTAAAATCGCGCACCAATCGAGATTTTCCCAAAGAAATTTTGGGTGATGAGCAGGAGTAAGAACGTGAGCGGATTCCAGAAAACAGCGATTCCTGAAAGGTTAAAGGACATCAAGGTTAAAACAATTCTAGGAGACCTGTTGTGTTCACCATGTGACTGCAAAAAAGATTCAACCTAAACATTCCTGATAGCGTCTCCTTACACATTTGTTTTCTTTTGTGTCTTGTAGCTTTTAAATTTATACTTTTTATATACGCATAAACCATTCTTTAGGAGACAATCCAGGCACCATTCAATTCCATGGTTAAGTCATATCAAGAAGGGCTGTACCATCGCTACTGCAAGCAGTTTTAGAACATCCCCTCCTTCTTGCACTCCTTCTTATTAGCGCCCCATTTCCCCCACCCCACCTGCAAGCTTCCCTGCTGAGCACCCAAGGACCCTAATCCACTTACCGTCTCTATAGATGAAGACACTTTCGGCGTAGGACACCAAAAGATGTAGAAAAATAGATAACAGAGTCAAGAAGGCGACCAACAATATCAAAACACAATAGAGATAAGCCCTAGTTTGAAAAAGAAAAGATTAAAAACTAGAGCAAACGCCAAGTGTGTCAAAAGGGAGATCAAATGATAAAGTCCTACTGGCTTTTAACCTAGTTACATCTGTCCTAGTCCACCTTCCAATATTTCTGTATAAAAGCGAGGCCATTCACATGGCCTGCTCTACAGTCACAAGGAGTTCGCCGGAGGCTTTATCCACATGTCTTTCCACCTCACCTTTTGTTTTTAATTGGTAGCATTTTTCGATATGTCATAAAGGGGATCAAATCAAATGAAAAGTGTGCTGTTTAACGCTTTAGTAAACTTGAGCTTTGGGAAAGAGTGTGTTTCTACACTTTAGGAGGCATTCGTGACACCTGCCAAGTTGGTTCAGGTAAAGATTTGAGTCAAATGACATTGGCTCTGTATCTCAGCAGTGGGTTTGATTTTGTTTAAACTCAAGCGGCCATCAGCTACCATGTGTCTTTGACGTTGGAAAGACTATGGGAGCCCTTCGGGGTTCAGGGCTGAGGGCAGGGAACCGGGACCTGCCAACAGAAGGCACGGATTCGCCTCCTGCCCATGTCACTCAGCCTGGGCCACCGGGATGAGGCCTCTAACATTTGGAACCTCGTCTGCTAACGGGAAATAAAGCACAGCATGACTCATGACATAGCTGAGTGATAAGAAGACTGGTATATCATTAAAATATGCTCCATATGTTGTAGGACAGCCTCCAAAAATAGGGCATTGTTATAAGAACCACGTGCTCATAGGAAGAGGTGTTTGGGCACAGCTTACACTGTTTTACAGTAGTAAACTCAGCAGCAAGGTTGAAAGAAAACACGTTCAAAAGCCAAAGGTCTTGCTCAGCCAGATGAGAGGAAAGGGTGTATTATTTTTAAGAAACGGCCACCACAAATCACCGTGCTTGGAGGTGTCCACCAGGTGACTGCCGGGCTTTCCTGGAAAAGCCGGCCGAGTGTATGGTCACGCCACACAACCGGGGCTGGTTAACAATCTGCCTCAGTGGCATGATTCGCCTCGTTGTCAGGGGCCAGCGCAAATGGTGGTGAGCAAAGGAAGTCTGAGAAGTAAAACTTATTCAATCCTAAGAGTTTTTCCCCCATCGGAATGGTAGAGAAGAGTCTACTATTCTATAACCCGGTTAAAGACTTTCAAGTATGTTTAAGAGTATAGGAACATCTAAACCAGCCTTGACGAGTCAGGCCTGTACACAGGAAAACCAAGCGAAAAAGACTGAGTCTCAAGCCAACATCTCGTACGATGCCAAGAACATAGTTCACGCCAATGAATAAAACGCCATGGGTCTGTCAGCCCAAGAAAGATGTCTTTCGACCACGTTATCATTCACAAAATGAATGCTCCAAAGAATACCTTTGACTGCAGATTACTTGAGAAAGAGAGTGATTCTGCCCTGGAGATGTTAAAATCCGGTTCAGTGCTGGTGTCAAAAGAGTCCAATTCGTCGCCACTAGGGATCCCGGTCTGGGAGGAGCTCTGAGACCCGGGAGTGTAACACATGTGGGACCGCTCCGGGCGTCCTTCCCCTTCGCTGTCAGCATCCAAGGCGTCGAGGCTGGAACTGAAGCACAAAGCGGGCCATTCGATCAGCAAATTGGGTGGGTGGGAGCCCGGGTGGGTGGTGCCCGGTGGGTACCCAGATAATTGGGCGAGTCCTGGGTTTCTATGTTTTTCCAAATGTAAGCCTTTAACCCTCACAGTTGTGAGGTGCAAGGAATATTCCATTCATTTACTAAGACGTTTTAGATTTGTTATTTTAATTTCCTGCCAAATGTCCTTGGAAAGTTTCACATTTCCTTAAGTGGACCCTTCTGGCTAGCAAAGTCTAGGCATCAGAATGTACTTCATGGCAATGGGTTTGTTTTTAGGTTAAGAAACAAAGACTGGTTCCAGCCTCATGGTATCTAGTTTGTAAACGTAATTATTACAGGCACCAAACAGGTATTCTCGAAATATTTAAACGTGGATACAACAGAACCAATGTTTGGATGTCAGCTTCCCCTCGGGGAGAATCTGCCAATGAAAATACACGCGGCGTCACGCCGAGCTGGTCCCTCGGGGGAAACTGTGTGGGGCAGAGGCAACCAGACAGCGAACTTTGAGAAGGCACACTTGAAGACTGCTATCAAGCACGGCTTAGAAACAGGTGGAGCACAAGTTTTCAACATGCCATAATGAATTTGTTTTCATTATAGCCTCATTAATTTTATCTATTAGATTTACACTTTTCTCTTCTTATAGCTACGTCTCTTTTTCCCAAAGCCATTTTATTGGGAGCTAATACAGGTATCATGCCGTTCTATAGTTCAATCACATGAAGCAGCACTGTACCATTGCTACTGCAACCCATTTCCAAACATTCTCTTCCTTCCTGAACTCCTGGGCATCAGCTCCCTTTTATGTCCCGTCACCACCCCCCACCCCCAAACACACGCACGCCACTGGACCCTCCAGAAACCCCTCTTCTACTTGCTGACGCTATGGGTTCCTCAATCCTGGGTTTCATCTATTCTCATTTTTTAAGAGATTTTTAAAAACTACTCCTGTGAGAAATCTACCTCAGAAATAGTAGCGATTCTGCTCAACCACTATTTTCCTTTCATCGTTTAACTTGAAGCACCATAAACCTACAAGGTAAGAAACTGACCTTTCACTTTCCTGGTTCATTCTATAACATTTACCTTTTGAACCACTCAGACTTCTGAGTCAACAGCTTACCTGAGTATGCGAAATACACTGCACTATATTAAAGGTGCTTTTCTTTGGTTGTTGCCATTCTGAAACCAAAATTTTAATCACCACACAGTGAAACGCTGTTGATTTAAAATATAAGGAAGCAGCAAACAAAACCTTGAAATAATCGGTGCCGGTTATTTTTCATAAAGAATCCAAAGCTCCTGAATGAGCACAGAACCCCAATTTAATAAGATACAGGACATTTTCGACAGAGGTCTTGTCTCCTATGCAAACACTGTGATCAATGCCGAGTCTCTGAAGCACAGACACTCTTGGGCACAGCAAATGGGGCAGTAAGTAAAGAGCACCTTTGGGACCACTGAGGGGTTCCAAAGTGGGCCCCTCCTCCCAGGACTCATCAGGGACAGCAGGAGGAGAGGCAAAAAAGAAGTAGATTTTACACATCTGCACCCAAGTCCCTAACAATTCAGAGACCATCAAATGACTTCTAAGACTAAAGCTTGATATTCGAAAGCTTTTCTAGGCGAGATGGGTGCTTTGACGCATAATGTAATAGTTTCTTGAGTCAACAATAATCTAAGGTAGTGGTTCTCAACCTTCCTCATGCCGAGACCCTCCAATACAGTTCCTCATGTTGCGGGGACCCCCCCAACCATACAATGATTTTTGTTGCTATTTTATAACTGTAATTTTGCGACTGTTATGAATTGGGTAACCCCTGTGGGAGGGTCCTTCGACACACCCCCAAGGGGTCACGACCCATAGGTTGAGGACCACTGATCTAAGGCTTAGAGAAGACCTTCAGGGCATGCAAGGCTTCGTGATGCCGTGTACTGCGACATTTATCCATCAACTAGGGAGCACTTTACTGCTGGAAACGAGTTCCTTCAATGCTTGGTAATAAGAATAATACCTGCCCTCCCCTATCACCCACTCCCCACCCCTCCCTGCACCCCCTATCAACCCCTGTATCCCTTATTCTCTCTGTGCCCCCACTCCTCCTGTGAGTCACACACTGGGAAACCCAACGGAAACACTCAACACCAAATTCCATCTAAGGTGGTAAGGATAAAATAATACTAATAGAGAGACACAACAAAGCAAGTGATGGGTAAGAAAGAAAAGACCCTCCTCAACATTTCAAAAGCCAGGGAAGAAAATTCTGTCAAGGAACCACCAAGTCGGGTCGGGTCTACAGGGAGGTCATCTGGCCAAGGATGGAGCTTGATTCTGCATATTCGAGATGACAATGGTCTCAGAGGGATGGCAAGTCTGTTCTAGATGCCAGGCTATTTATTTGATGCCAACTCATAGCAACGCTGTGTCCAAAGAAGCACTGCCCAGCCGTGCAAAATCCTCAGAATCGTGGCCACATTTGAGCCGTCTGTTGCAGCCACGGTGTCAATTGATCTCTTAGGTAAGGGTGTTCCTCTTTTTTGGCTGACCCCCTCCTTTGTCAAAGGACCCCTGGGTGGATACATGCTGGACTGCTAACCAAAACACCAAAGGTTCAAACCCACCAGCCCCTCCCCAAGAGTCTGTTTCCATGGGGATCTACAGCCTCAGAAACCTTTTTCAGGTGCCTTCCCATCCCCCCTTCCGCTGCATCCCTCACTAGATCTGGAATTTGAGGGTCTCTTCCCAGGTTTCCTCATTTTTCTTGATAAATATGTACATGCGCTATAGAAATAAATTGTCGCATCTTGAGGGACTTTACATTTATAAAAATGAAATCTAAAGTATCTTAAAGGATAATTTTTTGTTGACCATTGTTTCTTTTCTTCTTTTTTCAAATCATTTTATTGGGGGCTCATACAACTCTTATCACAATCCATACATACATCCATTGTGTGTCAAGCACACTTGTACATTTGTTGCCCTCATCATTCTCAAAACATTTGCTTATGCACACCTTTGTCTTCAGCGATCGTATCGGGAAGGTGTGCGTCATGGAATGCCAATTTAACAGAACAAAGTGTTCTTGGGCCTCCACTCAAGTACTTCCCCAAGGCAAGAACACTTTGAGCATTGTTTCAAAGACGCACGTCCTTCTGTCTACAGATGTGGTTCGTTCATTTTTCCTACCACACAGTGTGCCGTTATGTAACTATGGCATCATATAACAAAAAAATGTGTGGCAAATAGTAACGTCTATGTGCTGTTTTTGGTGTGAGGTACCCGGAGTCAGTTCCAACCTGCAACACAATCACAACAGAAGGAAACCCCGCTGGGTCCTGCACCATCCTCACTAGTGTTCCTATACTGGTGCCCACTGTTGCGGACACTGGGTCAATCCATCTCTGAGGGCCATCCTCTCTTTCACTCTCCTGTTACTTTGCTAAGCATGATGTCCTTCAGTACAACAAACTGGCAGACAGTGGTGGCTATGTATTCTAGTACACAGAAATAAGACTGCTGGGGCATAGGGCATAGGCATGTTGCGTTTGACCAAACAAGCAACAGATTGCAGTTAGTCGATCCTGACTCATTGTGACCCGGTTGATGGAGGGATCCAAAGCCGTAACATACACATGAGCAGACTGCTCCATCTTTCTTGTATGGTACAGCTGGCGAGTTCGAACTGCCTACCTTTGGTTTAGTAGCTGAACACCTCATCACTGCACCACCAGGGGCCTTTTACAAAATAATGCTAGATTATTTTCCAAAGTTATCTATAGCATGTTTCCCACCTAGCAATACTACACAGGTGTTTCCGCTGTACACATTCTCAACAAAACCCAACCAATTGTCATTAAGTCAATTCCGACTCATAGCAACGCAATAGGAAAGCGTGGAACTGCCCCTTTGAGTTTCTGAGGCTGTAATTATTTATGAGGAGCAGAAGCCTCATCTTTCTTCCATGGAGCGGAGGGTAGGTTTGAACTGCTGACCTGGCAATAAGCAACTCAACGGATAACACACTCTCGTCAGTTCAGTCTTCCTTCCAACCCATCAGAGAGAGTAATATAAAAGGAGAAAACATGCTGAGGTGGCAATAAAAGTGAACGAGGTCGTAATGCCTAATGAAAAGGAAAACGGGATTTTCCAAGTCCAACGACAAGAGTCTGGGTTTCCCTACTGTTCCTCTAAACCGGGCCATCTTACCTCCTTTTCTTCAGATGGCTTTGCTCCCGGTCAAACCCATGCAGACCAAAGGAAAGGTTCAAACTGGACACGCACGCGCTGGGCGGGGCCAGGCAGCACGGCTGGGCTTCCAGGGCGTTTGCGGTCCCTTGGCTGTGGTCGCAGCGTGGACACGCGCCAGCGCTCGCTGCTCCGGGGAGCGTGTTCTTGCCGCTCCGTGACCCGCAGGTGGAATCCATGGATTCAGGGGTGGTATTGGCAGGGATTCCTTCTATATTAATATAGTTAATATCCAAGTCGCCCACCTGGTGGTTGAAAGAAAAACATTTGCTGAGCAAAACCAGCAAAGATCAGCTTAGCTAAAAATTAATAAAGCTCTCCCAATTTGAAGCCTTTCGCGGTGTATCTTTTTACCTTGTTTGTTCTTGGTTTTAATGTATGTACACACCGACATAAATTCTTTCATGATACGGTTTTTATGCAGTTGGCCGCGGTCCCATAATTCATCAAAAGGAAGGAAGGTTTCATAAAGCTTGCCAACTCAGAAACGGATGATGCGTTTATCGATTTATGAATCACTGACTCGAAATGAGGGGGAAATATTTTAAATACTTTAGAAAAAAAGACCCTGAAGATTAGGCAGTTTCTTTAAAATGCAACTAGGACTCTGGGTAACTGAGGTTCAGATGACTGCAAAAATCCACGTGCCTGATCTCCACGCCCCCCACCTCCACCCCACCAAACAGCACCCAAACAAAACCACATAAAATGCATGTACTTGGACACCAAGAGGGGAGAAATTTTCCCAAACTTCAAATTACCGTTAATAAAACAAGAAATCTCTCGTGCTACTACCGCCAGCCTGCAGGGAAAATAAGAGCAGTCTAGCAAAGTGGGCATGCCCGAGAGAAAAGGCAGACAAAGGGAGAGGCCCAGCCGATGGGCACAATCACTCTGCGCAGCACCCAACGCGCCCCCAGAGAGGAAGACCCTCGACACGTGTGAAAGAGACTTGCTTTAAGTAAGGGATGCAAAGTACTCTTGATTTGAAGGGGCAGTTATCAAAGAGCACTGCTTCCAGGGGAGAAGAGAGCATTCTTTTTTTCTTTTAAATGAAGCAACACTGTAGAGCAGTGGTTCTCAACCTGTGGGCCGCGACCCAATTGGGGGTCGCCTAAGACCATCGGTAAACACCACTCCTCTCTCTGTCTCCAGGCGGGTCCGCCCACATGCACATACGCGCACATACATAAATATTTCACACTATATAATTACATATTGTTTTTGTGATTCATCACTATACTTTAATTATGTTCAATTTGTAACCATGAAAATACATCCCTCATGTCAGATATTTACATGACGATTCATCACAGTAGCAAAATGACAGTTATGAAGTAGCAACGAAAATAATTTTTTTAGGAAGGTGGAGAACCACTGCTTGGGCTGTGCAGGAAAAAAGAAGAGGGAAATCTAAGGTCACAGGTCAAACATACAACCTCTTCTCCCATCACGCAAAGGAAAAGCTATCTATCATCAGAGAAGATATTTTGCATGTTATGGTCAGAAGAGGACACTCTTGAACCACAAGTCTTGAAAAGTATCGCGACTAGGAAATTAAAAGGTAAAGGCAACAAAATACACACACACACACTATATGTGTGTATGTATGCATACACACACACACACCGAAAAAATTGTAAGGAAAATGGAAATCATCCTCCGGTCGATTCTGACTCATACTGATCCCCTGGGTGGCGGTGGGAATGCCACAGAGGTCAAAATCCCCTCGGAGCTGCCCCCAAAAGAATCCAGAAATTCAAAAATGAAAAACAGAAATCGTGAAAGAAGAAATGAAAGGAATACTGGAAAAAATGAAAAGAATTGATTGAGATCAGGGAAGAGAACTCATAATCATAAAAGAGACTTACTGGTTAGATAGAGCTTGGTAGTACACTTAGTAAGAATATGTTGTAGTTGTGTATATTGTGTTTGCTGTTGTCTTTTTTCTTCGTGGTGTGCTTGCTTTCATTTTGTAACCCTCTTTCCCCTAACCTGGGTTATTTTGTTTGTTTGCTTTTAGTTTGGCAATTCTGAGCCCTGGTGTTATAGTGGTTTATGTGTTGGTCTCCTTCTGGAGAAAGATGGGCTTCCTACTCCCATAAAGAGTTGCAGTCTGGGAAACCCACAGAGAACAGTACTGCCTGGTCCCAAAGGATCACTATGGGTCGGAATCAAGTCGACTGGAATGTGGTTTGGGCTTTTCTGGGTGTTAATTGTCATTATACTTAGATATTTTTTAATGCTTGTAGTTCTCATTTGCTTATTTATATTTCTTTGATTTGTCAGTTTGTAATGGCATTATTTAGCTCTTATTTATTACTTGTATATAAAGTGATGATCTTGCTCAACTTTTCTTACACATTCTTCTCTCATTTTAAAAACTATTTCTTTTTATTAAAATATATAGCACAAAAGAGATACTGTAGCTCTCTACCTTCATTTCTACCCTTGTTTGTGTTACGTCTGAAGTAACTGTATTAAAGTCTCATCCTTAGTCCGTTAGGCGAAGTTTTTCAAGTCATTTTTCCTGGAGAAAGTGAATTCTTTTCAGAAAGTTAATAATTAATAATTTCCTTTCTGGCTCTTTTTACACCTTAGTTTATTTCTTTTTCTTAGTATAGTCATATATTTCTTCACTGCTCCTTATGATGTTTTTATTTGACTTTATTATTTTTTGAATACCTTGTAAATTTTACTCTGTTTCTCTGATGATTTTTCACCCTGTGGGCCGAGTCTGAATATTTTCAGAGGAGTAGAAAGCCTCCGCTTTCTCCCCTGTGGTGGGTGGCGGTTCCCACCTGCTCACGGGCAGTCAGCGCTTCAGTGTGTAACCCTGTGCATCCAGGGCTCTTTCCGGGGCTTTCTCTTTTTGACGCAAGAGAGGCTTTTATTCTCTGTGGCTCCCTAATATCATCTGGCACTGTACATCATCCGCTCTCTCCTATAGGGATGCTGAGTCAGACATGATTCGCTGGTAGTGAGTTCGGGATTATTCTTGTTTCACTATCCCCTTCACTAAAGAGTGAGATACGGCGCATTACCTAATAGGCCAGCAGAATCAAGTGAGAAGTCTGGAAACAGTCCCCCGTATACATGTCTATTCCAGAAATACAAGCGTATGTCTGAATAGACCTGCATAGCTAAAACGGTGCTCATTCCCTCTTGGACCTCCTCGGACACTCTGACAGAGTGGCCATCTTACCGGATTATCAGGAAGTTGTGAATCGGTGGTGTCAGTGCACACTCAACATAAAAGCAGCATTTGTTGCTGCCAGAGTTCAGAGCACAGTCACTGATTTTGTGCAATGCTCTGGGGTGGTTGTTAGTGCTGGTGAACTTAGGCCAATAACTGTTTGAGACTGAAGTCGCCACAAAAGGAAAAAGAGAAATATCAAAAAAAGACTTCCACTCAGTTACCATTAAGGTTGTAACTAATGATGTTGTATTTCAACACAGACAAAATTGACAAAACGATTTTGTTGTTAGAATTCATGTAAGCTGAAAAAATACTACAAACCATTTATATTGCTACTTACATGTTTTTGTATGATTAAAATGGGTAAGCAACATTACTAAGGATTCTGTATGACCTGGTGTGTGTGTGTGTGTGTGTGTGTGTGTGTGTGTGTTAGAGAGAATGAATGAATGAGTTACTTCCCTGGGTAAAGTCAACAACCCGAGTGACGGCCATGAGATGACACAACTCTTAATGAGAAAAATTTTACAACTAAAAAGAGTATGTTCGCATTTGTCTTTTGATCTAGAAATCCCACTTCTAGGGCTTTACTGCATATCAGAACGTATCAGTGTGCTCACTCACACCCATCACGGCACTGTGGGAACTGCAAAGCAGTGGGAGGCACCTGAGGAAGAGAGTGGCTCTGGGACATCCAAACAGCCAAGCCCCAGGCACGGCAACCAGGGATGGGGAAGATCTCATGAACCCAAGTGGTTTCCTGGATCCTAAGGAATAAAGGTAAAAGCAAAGTCCCCAGAAGAACGTGGTTATAGAGGGCTGCTTTCTTGAGTAAGAAATAAAGGGAAAGAAATAAACACGACATGTACTCACACAAAAAGGAAGAGCTAAGTTCTCCATGTGTAGAAACAGGATGGAAAGAAGGGGGGGGGGCACGTCCTCAAGGACACCCTTTGTACAGGATTGCCTGTTGAACCAGGCTCTCCATCCACACCAAACTCACTGCCATCGAGCGGATAGGGACTCAGCAATCCGAGAGGACACGGTAGAACTGCCCGTGCTGGGTTTCTGAGACAGGAACTGTTTACCGGAGAAGAAAGCCCTGCCTTTCACCCACGGAGCAGCTGGTGGTTGCAAACTGCTGACTTTGAGGTTAGCAGCTCAATGCGTAACCACTACGCCACCATGGCACCTGCAACCAGACAACCCGATTTTACAAAATAAGAAAGAAAAGCAGGGAAAAGAAACAAAAATCAACATGGCTGAGCAGGAAAACTCCAAGATGAAATAAAGCAGACTTAAGTGAAACTGTATTTCAATGACTATCATGACATTGACATTTTTGAAAAGCACTGATTTATATGCATATATATAATTTTTTTGCTGGAGTCTCCTCAATTTTTGTTTTCTGATGTTTCCTTGTGGTCAAATTCAGGTTGGCACATTCAGTAGAAGTGGCACAGAAGGAACGCTGTGATCTTCAGCATGGTATCAGGAGGCATTTGGCACAATAGCTCCCATCACTAGTGATGCTCCCTTTGTTCTGCCAGGCCTCTGGTTCAGTAAAATTATACTGACATATTACTAAGTATCTGTGGGGTGATGTTTTGTGTCTGTGGTCAGACTATGGGTAACATTCCCAGGAACTGAAATTACAAACTTTTCAATAAATAACCTATACGTAGACCAAGAGGCAATCATTTAAAATGAACAAGGTGCTAGAGAGTGCATGACTTAAAATCAGGCTGTGTGTGTGTCAGGGTTGTATTCTTCCACCATACGTATTCAATCTGTATACCTAGAAAGTAATTGAGACGCTAGACTATAGGAAAAAGCATGTGACATCAGGATTGGAGGGAGCTTCATTAACAACCTGCAGGGCATGCAAATAACACAGCCTTGCATGCTGAAATGAAGAGGGCTTGAAATACTTACTAATAAAGATCAAACTTTGCAGCCTTCAGCAAGGCTTATGCTTCCACATGAAGAAAAGCAGCCCTCACAATTGGGCCAATAGACAATCATCATGATAAACGAAGAAAATAATGAGGTTGTCAAGGATTGCATTGTTCTTGTGTCCACAGTTATGACTTACATTAGCAGCAGCCCAGTCATCAAACAATCTATTTCTTCAGGCAAATTTGCTACACACCAATGTTGTAAAGGGCTAAAGAGAAACATGTCAATTTGAGGAGGGAGATGTCCATGACCCGAACCATGGTATTTTCGATTGCCTCGTGTGCATAGAAAAGTTATAGAATGGCTAAGAGAGACTGAAGAAGATTTGATGCATATGAGCTATAGTGTTGCTGAAGAAATCTGAATGGACCACGGACTATCAGAAAAACAAACAAATCTGTCTTGGGAAGAATGCAGCTAGAATAGTCCTAGAAGCAACAATGGTGAGACATCATCTCATGTACATTGGTCATGTTATCAGGAGACATCCACCCTAAGAGAATGACCTTCAAAGAGGAAGACCGTCAATGAGACAGACTGACACAGTGGCGCTAACAATGGGTTCAAGCAAGCAACACTTGTAAGGATGACGCAGGACGGAGCAGTGTTTCCTTCTGTTGTCCACAGTGTTACCATGAGTCAGAACATAACTCATAACGACAACGGTGACAGAACATATCAGCACTGCTTCTTTGGTACACTATTAAAAACAGTCATCACTAACCTTGCTATCATGCAGAATGCATGGAGAGTGGATTGTTGAAGACGTAGTTAAAACGTAGCACCCTATCAACTGATCTTCCTTATGATCCATTTAAATTTGTTCTAGGTTTTAATATTTTCTGCTTTCTTTTTTTTTAAGGTTTTTATCTGTTTTACTTTGTTACTGAAGTTGGTTTGGTTTTTTTTTATGTGTTCCTGTACAGGAAATCCAAGATAGGTAAATCTAAGGAGCCAGTAACTGGGTTAATGGGTTATGACAGGGAATGTTGTAGAGAAATGAGGAGCTAAAAACAATGATAATAAGAAATAAGAAAAATACATATTTTTTCTTCCATCACTGTGGCTGACATTGGGCTGGTTTATTACAGTATTCACTGAGACTCAAAGTATCATGATGTTTAAAATATTTTGCTTCGATTGCTTTGCTTTATACCAGAACAGCTATCCCAGTTCTGTATGACCAGCATCCATTCCGATTTCACATGTTTTTTGGGGTTTTTTTGCCATTTTGAATTTTGCCATTTTTGCCAAATTCATGGAAAAATTCCATTACCTTATAATTCCATTTTTCATAAACTTTTGTGAGGCCCTTCATATCATCACACTCTATACTATTTGTCGTACACATCTGATGTAACAATATTGATAAAAGAAAACCATTCAGCTAAAAGGCAAAAATTAAGATCCACTGGATAAAATTGTTAAAGCTTGTATTACAAAAACATTCCATAAGCAAAATTCATAATTATAGCCCAAACCAAAATTCCTGCCATTGAGCCAATGCTGACCCATAGAGACCGTCTAGGGCAGGGAGAGCTTCCCCTGTGAGATTCTGAGATTATGACTCTTGTTGGGAGTAGAAAGCCTCGTCTTTCTCCCGAGGAGCGGCTGGTGAGTTCCAACTGCTGACCTTGTGGATTGCAGCACAGCGTGTAACCACTATGCCACCGGGGCGCCTTTGTAAATAGAAACAGCACAAATGATATTCATATGAGGGTGAGTTAAAAAAAAATACTGTTACATAATCACAGAAACCTTTCATTTTTTATATCAAAATGTGAAGTTATTGATTCTCAATAGATCCTCCACCTACGTCAATACATTTTTGACGGTGGCATTTCCATCTCTCTAACTCTTTCCTGAAGAATGCTGCACTCTTTAACTTACACCACAGCAAAACAGCCATGTGGGCATCTGTGAGGGCCCCCAAATATGCTCCTTTTCCCGAGTCTTTGAGCTGGGGAACCCCCAAAATATAGTCTGGAGGGTCAAGATCTGGGCTGTACAGTGAATGGGGTCAGGTTTCCCAATGACATTCTCCCAGGACGGCCTTTCCAGCATCAGATATGAGCATCTGGGTCACTGCAGTGAGCATACAACCTGCAGCACCGCTGGCTTTGCTTTTTCTCTCCAGGGCAGGTTTTCCTTTCCTTAAAACCTCTGCCTCCGAAGCCCCACTGAGCACCGTATCCTTCGAGAAATCGATCACCGCGATTCCCATGGAATACCACCCTACCCAACACCACCCCGCAAAAAGGGCCACCGTCTCCCTCTGAGCTGACCCCTCAGCCTTGAATGTGACTGATCCAGCAGACTACCTCAGAGACCCTGTTTAGATTGGCTCTGTTTTGTAAAGGCATCCTCGAGAGATGGAGACAAGTATATTCCTGAGAGCACTTGTCTGCGCTCACCCACTGGCCACAGAGCCACGCGGAAACACATTTCATGTAGAATCAGCCCATGCATGCACGAGCTGGCACCCTAGCATCAAAACTGTGTAGACTACCTTTGCATACAACCAAGGAGAGGACGAAAGATTAAAGTCGCTTCCTCGGGATATTTATGGTGCATATGGCATATGGATTAGGCTCAAAAATCAGTGGCTAAGCTAAAAAGGTGTATGTTGTCAAAACTACCCTTGAAAGCCCTGTCATCTCCAAGGCATTCAGGTGGACTGAGTTTTTCAGATCTAAATTAAATAAATAGTCAAGTTGGAGGATTACCCAGACAGAAAAAGGAAAAAGAAAAGTTTCTAGGCAGATGTCTCCACAGGCAAACCAACAGCCCTTTTGAGATTTAACTCACAAGCCTCTGTCAGGAAGTGGGTGGGGAATTCCAAATGTGCCAGCTTCCCTGGTCCACACGCCCTCCTGTTTGAGTCGTGAGCTCTATACGCTCTTTGCGCATGTTAACAGATGCCGGGGGATTAAGTGCCGAATGTATGTGACAGCATGGTTTGGTGCTGGCGCTCGCCCACCTGCTCACGACTTCTTCCTGGATTTGGAATTAAATGGTGTTTCACTGGGCAAGAGACACGACCTTTTATGAAAAGTTGTAGAGAAGAAATCGGTCATTGCCCATTGTAACCCATGCAATGATTCTCACACTCTTCTCCTATGGAGGGAGCTGTCTCAGGACCCACCCCCTGCCACGCTTCTTGGTGGGTTGAGGTGTGTTGTGTTTCAAAGTAAGCCATCAGAGCTACCCAGTGGGCAGAGTGGATGCGCCCATGGTGGCCCGTGTGTGCAGAGCAGATCTGCTCCACAGGGTTTCCCACAGGCATTGAATTTTCAGAAGATCACCAGGCCTGTCTTCTTCCAACGTGCCTCTGACTGAACTCGAACCTCCAACCTTTCTGTTAGTAGACAAGCACTTACCTCTTTGTTACCCAGGGGCTCTGCTCACCTGATGAGACTCCAGAGCAGTAGCACCTGGGCAGAAATGCCCAGAAAGCGCCAATGAAGCTGAATCTATTTCTCACCAACTTGAGTTTGGGTAAGAGGGAGAACATCATGGCTTGCCACCTCTGCCAAGGCTTTACCTGATCAATCACCATGCAGTTAGTGTAGACTTCATCACCGCCATTCAGCATGTCAGAAAGCCGGCCTGCCGCCAGGAACGTTGGGGAGTGCTTGGACTTGAGCCCATCAAAGGACCGGCCTGCAAGGAAAAATAACAAAGGAAAATTGCAGAAATCAAGTAGAACGCATTTATTTTATAGTCAAGCTACGACCTTCTGGGTCAAACCATAAAGAAAAAGCATTCAAGATGGTATTTGTTTAATACTGCATGTTTTGACAGCCTCCCGTTGTGAAATCCACCTGCCAGTTTCCTCTCTCCCATATGTAAGGCTTCCCGGCTATCCAGACCCTTCCAACAGCATGGCGGCTCCCACACTGCTCCTTCATCCAAAGACTGGGCCGGGATTTAAACCAACAGCACAGATGGAGAAACATGTGCCCAGTTCAAGTTCAAGTGCCTTTGTTCATCCTGTTGCATTGATGCCTTCAATCTCTAATGGACCGAATTAAACTTCACTGCACATTTTCAACAGTTTGAAAGCCTTAGTGAATATAGTGGAAGCCTCGGGTTCCACACAATTGTAACAGGTCCGTGGACAGCTAAAGGGCTCCAGGTAGTATGAAATCTGGTGTTTATAACAATACCTGAGCTGCTCCATATGCGTGATCTGAAATGCCCAGAGAGGCTTGCTACTATTTCAGCGACAGAAATGTTTCTGCCTGCTTCCCTGCACTCAGCTGTGTTCCAAGTAGATAAGATGGCCCCGCGCTCCGTCACGGAGAGTGATGGGACTGTATTTGTAGGGGAGCCTCCAGTTGAAGGTAAGGAAACATCGGACCAGAATGTTTCCTGCCCTGTGACTTTGGGTTTAAGTATTTGATCTCTGTACAACATCACAGTATCCGCTCCCCCAGAAGAACAGATGATTACCGTGCTTTCTTGATGGTGTGGTTATGAGGATTAGATATGTTCTGGCATGTCAAGCATTTAAGGGTTTGTGTAGTAAGACTACCCAGAGTGGAGCGTTTCTATTGGTATTCCAGCCAAGTTTCTCGAGTGGAACAGAGGTTAATATTGCTTGTATGCCATTAGAAATGGGGCATAAGGCACAGCCCAGCTGTGCTGTCACAGCCAAAAACCTGGGCCAGACCACGCAAGTGAATTAGGGAACCAAAACGATTACAGTGAACCCTCGTTTATTGCAGTTAATCGGTTCTAGACCCTACCGTGATAAATGAAATTCCGCAAAGTAGGATTCCTTATTTGTAAATCAAATATTTTCGTAGTTAGAGCATAGAGGACATGAAAAAACACCTTTTAGTCATCATTACACTCATATTACCCAATTTATTCAATGAAAAAGGGAAAATACAGTAAAACATTTTGGACGTTACAATTATCATTTATTATTTATTATATTATTTATGGCATCTAGTTTACAGTATGAGCCAATCAGTGGCAGTAATGACAGAGCATGCGCTGTTACGCAAACACCGCGATAGAGTGAAGCCGCGGAAGTCGAAGCGCAAAGTGGCGAGGGTTCACTGTACAGACTGTGGAGTTGGGGTGCCAGGAGCAAGAGGCGCTATTCTCCCCACAGAGTCCTAGATCATTAGACACATTACGACGATGTCTGAGCTGTACTACTCAAATGGCCTTGGCAAGTCTCAAATGCTGCACCCACAGCTGTCTCTTCCACAAAGAACATGGGGGAAAGGTCTTAAGAAACTTCTCAAGGACAATATGAAAGAAAAACGTGATTTTCTTACAGCCATATTCCTTTACAAACTTTTAAAAATAACTAGCACTAGACTAAACACAGCACACCTACTTCACAAGCATATCTTTATGATCAATTACTCTGTATTTTCATTCTAATTACCTAAAAGAAAAATACGTACGGTGGATTATAAACCGAGCCTGACAAAGCGCTTTCAACATGTTCTGAAGACTTGCTCATTTGTCACTTTACAGCAGGTTTTCTAGAACAATCCTCAATAACTCAGCGTGCCTCTGCAAAGCATAATTAACCCAGTTTAACTGTCCTGCAGTCTCATAAATTCAGTCTATAAAACACCTGCATTTCTACCTCTCCCTTCATAAGCTGTCGGTGCTCCTTCTGTTAACCACTCCACCTCACTGCCAAACTAAGATGCTGTTGCTAACTAGACCAGTCTAAGAACCAGCAAGATGTTGGCGACAATAGCAAACAATTGATGGGTTGCATTTAAAAAACAAAACCAAGTGAAATAATTCCCCGAAGTGTGTGGTGCCAATGCACACATTATCCAGCCACCTGACTGTGAGACCCAGGGCTGCTGTGAATGCCCAACCAGAAGGGAGGCCCCCCAAACACCGACCGCTCCTTTCAAGGATGGGCAGGAACACCAGTGACTCCTGTAGTCACTTACACGGGACTCAACCTTTCTTCCACAACCAAATCTACCTGACACTAGATGCCAAGTCAGAGACCTTACGTCATTGCTTTTAGTGCTGTGGAGTCGGCCCTGACTCGCAGCGACCCGTTGCAAAACAGAACGAAGCGCTACCCAATCCTGAGGCAGCCTCACAATTGTTATTCTTTTTCACGCTACTGATAGCCGCTGCGTCAACCCATTCTCCTTTAGCAGGCATGATGCCCTTCTCTTGATACTATGTCCCTTCATGGTAATTTTTTTTTTTGCAGTGTTTGCATCTTTTTCCTTCTTTTTAATCATTTTATTAGGGGCTCACACAACTCTTATCACAATCCATACACACATCAATTGTGTAAAGCGCATTTGTACATTCATTGTCCTCATCATTCTCAAAACATTTCCTCTCCACTTA